ACTCACAAGACAAAGATAATAAGTAATTGAATCAGTCTTTGAAAATGCTTAAATGTTTTTGGATCATCAAACAAGTTAATAAAAGTAAAAACTTATTTTAACACAGATTAATAAAATATAAAATTCTGAAATGATCAGTTAATTTATTAAGAGAAAAAAGTAATCCAAACCTACCTGGCCCTATTTGAAGCATTTCCTCCCTTTATTAAGTCATGAATTCACAGGTATTAACAGTTAACCGGATCTTTTGTAAAAGCTAAGTTCAGTTCTATTAGCCATGCCCGGATCCAATTACTGCCAAAACTCTTGAACCATAAAATCACTTGTCTTACAAAGTGAAATAGGCTAAAAACTCGCTAAAAGCTACACATCATGCAGCTAAGAAACAATGTAATTGACATGTATCAGCCTGGAAAGGTTTACAAAGACATTTCTAAGACTTTGGAACTTAAGTGACAGCCATTATCTAGAAACCTTCCCTGGAAAAATCCAGGGTGCCAAAATTACTCCAAGAGAGCATCAACAGCTCATCGTGGGGTTCACAAGTGAAAACACAACAACATCTAAAGACCTGCACTACACACTTAATTTCAGTTAAGGTCCCAGTCATGATCCAACAATAAGAAAGAGACTGAGCAAAAATGTGAGAGTTTCAAGGAGAAAACCACTGCTGAGCAAAGCAGAAAGGCTCGTCTTACATTTGTTAAAAACATTTTTGATTAACCCTCGAAGTCTTTGAGGAAATATTCTGTTGACTGATGAGACAAATGTTGAATGTTTTGTAAGGTTTGAGGCTTATTCTAGTGTAAAACTAACACAGAATTCAGAAAATGTGATCCTAGTTTGAGTCAAATACGGTGGTGGTAGTGTGGTGGTCCGGGGCTGCTTTGCTCACTTGAGTTGCAGCAGGACAATAATCCAAAAAACACCACCAAAATCACCTCTGAATGGCTCAAAACATACCAAAACCAATGGAGTGGGCGAATCAAAGTCCAGAATCAGACTGAGATGCTTTGGTGACCTAAACAGGTTTTAGCTGAAAACCATCTACAGTGTAGCTGAATTAAAACTTGCAGTTCTTGCTGCCAAAGGGGGCAAAACCAGTTATTACATTTAGGAGGCATTGACTTTTTGCTGGTTTCAACAGCATTTTTTTTGTAATTTAAATCATCAGTTAAAAACATATTTTTTACATACTCAGGTTAAGAGCTGACTGGGAAAAACAAGTAGACCTATCAAAGCACTACAGAAATATTTTATTTAAAGTCAATAATATCATATTGAACTTTTTTCCGTATATAATTAATTACTAAAATAATGAAATCATAATAATATAATCAATAATAAACATATTTTTTGAAATGTGATTTTCACTGTCTATCTAAAATTACAATTTTCTATTTAAATAACTTAATTTTCAAATTAAAATCAACAGCACTTACATTAAATGAAAGAAGTCCACATGAGCTAGTTTGATATCTTCAGGTGATAAATTTGGAAGTAGTCTCACATCATTTGAAAGAATACAGTTTTCTTACCCAGAAAAAGGCGCAGTTTATTATGACACATGAAGTTTGCAAATTTGCAAGATCATTTCTGACTTTGAAATTTGCACTTTTACACATAATCCTATAATGTCTTTTAAACTGTGTTTGGCACGCACAGAAAATAATGCAAATTCAATGTCATTCTACCAGAACATGTCTCAGTTATCAGTGTCAGCTTCCTCCAGAGGACGTGTTACAGTTTGTTTGTTTTTTGAAATAAAAACAGCAAGACATTTCTATTAGTTTAAGTATAGAAAATTTGTTGTTACAATATTTTATATTAAATTAAAACATCTTCACAAAGTAATTAACTGATTAATTTACTATTTAAATTCTTCTCCAACAAAAAATACTACATTTCATATAACATAAGTTCACATAGGTTTCACATTTCAAAGATAGTTTCAAAGAATCTTGAGCATGTCTTGAATGATTCAGCTCATATTTACATTATCTAGTATAGCATAAAGGTTTTATGTGTCTACACATTTTACATTGAATGTGCAACACATAAACAAAACATAGTCTCAGTCATTTACTGTAAACTTTGCCAGTGTGCTCGTGGAGAGGCTGTAACGTTTTAATACAATTGTTGTATGATTTTTGAGCTCAGTAAGGTGACTGTTACTGTTACTCAAAAAAAAACCCTATTATATTAGATGATACTTTTCTTAGTAGTAATGTACTACATTACTTGATTACTAACTGAAGAAAATCTTTTCTTTTTAACACACCAGGTCACTATCAAAATATTATTATGTTAATGATTTTCAGATGCATTTTGGGCTTATATTATTATTATTATTATTATTATTATTATTATTATTATTATTATTATTATTATTATTATTATAAAGACATGTTGCATTATTTTCCTATCAAATATCACTAATGACAGTTCTGGCGTTACATAAAGTTTGAAAATGTTTCTTAATTGTCCAAATGAGAATTGATGTTTCAAAACTTTTATTTCGTATTTTGTGTATTTTGTAAGTAACGTTTGCTTGTAAGATGTTGCCTGTAAAATACAAATTTAAACACATCATGTACATTTCACACAATTCTTTAAACCAATAAAACTTCAAATTAAAATTATACACACAAAAAATGTCTCTACTCACAAGTTACATATACCATGTCGGGAGCTGGGAGGGGATCCTCTGGTTTATACACATAGAATTCTCCTGGACAGAGGGCCACACTCACTAAAAAACTCTTTTCATTACACCCTTTTGCAGTCCCATTTGTCGGATACAGAGACAAATTAGTTGGTAAGGGAAATGGTATAAAAATGGGGACAAGTGTAGCACCAGTTTGGACTGTTAGACAGGATGTAATAACTGTGTCTCCACCGATCCCCGTAAAGCGCAACCATTTGCCAAGAAAATCTGCATCATTTTGGGAATAACCAGTAAAAGGGGTAGATGCAAAGGCTCGGTTCCGCCATGGTTCATTTATCTCAATGTATCCATCACAAGAACCTGCAAATAACAAGCAAGCATTGGAATCATAGTAGTTGTTTTACACGTTTTTGGAGGATTTGCTGTGGGTTTTTTAGTATTTGCTGTAGCAGAAAATCTTACATACCAGGAGGAAAATCACAAGAGACAGGTATGATAAACAAACCTACCAAAGGGAAAAATACTGGTGAATGAACTAGTTTTCATTGCTTTAAAAGGTGATTTTTCAACAGCTAAAACCAAAAACTAAAACTTTTGCGATTAAAGTATTGTAAACATTGACTGAAATTTACACATATCTTTGTGAAATGCTACCTAAAGTCATAGTAACTGTTTATAATTTACCATTATTTGATTAGAAATATGTGTCTTTGAATCCAGAATCTAAACTAAAAATTTGTTCCATCTTAATAATCTAGTTTTCTCATTAAAATTAGCACTGACATCAATTTAATACCTTTAAAATTATTTTCTCTGTCAAATTCACTTACCCAGAAAAAGTGACAAGACACAGTCCATAGTGACAAGTCAAGTCTCCAGATCTGTTCTGAATGTTCACATTGTAAAACATGAGCAACACCCAAATATTGCTTTTAAAAGCATTATGTGAATGCAAAAACCAATGCAAATTCACCAACTTGTGTAGACTATGTTAAGGACCTAGGAAAGAAACATACACTGTTGACTGCAGGATTTTTATGTTGTCTTTTTCATGTTTGTGAAAAAGTGTTTTCAGGTTTGTGAAGCATTTATTCTTTTCTTTAGTTCCTTTCTCAGATCTCAAAGACAATGAACACAGTTATACTTAAAATTCCCAAAACGAATCCTGTAAAATCTGTACCAAATCAATTTAGAGACTAAGGACTTTTAAAGCACACTTCAAAATTGATCAAATAGCTATTTTATTTGTGAAATTAAAAAAATAGGGGCTGTCCTGCTTGTCCTACTTTTTTTTCTGTAGGCCATCTCGTACTTCTGATCTATTGAATATTTGTCCTTTCACACAAAAAAAACATTTCAAGCTTTCAGTCAAAACCTGCATCAGAGCTCACTCCTACTTCGAAATGAACCGTTTCAGTGTTTTGTGTATGCTAATTCATATGTACACGATCAGTGCCTGCATTTGCTTTACATTACCAACTACTCCTCCTTCAGGCTGCCCTCCACCGGTGCCCTACTGTCTGCTCTCATCAAGCTGCAGTAATCATGGCACCTGCATGAAAAATGTAGCCATACTGTGCTTCAGGGGGGCTGTATTTCAGGCCTGTAAAAAGGGCAAGACTCCTTCCTTTCCTCATGCCAAAAAGGCACCCATGAGTAAACCTTTTTATGGGACATTGATAATTAATGACCAACTTTGTTCCTCCTAAATTCTAAATTAAAGTAAATAATGTATTTACTTTAAAGTTGTTTAAACAGTGACAAAAAAACAGAACTTTGGGTGTCAGGCGACTTTATTGAGTCAAATTAAGCAGTATGTAAATCCCACAACCAACCACTTTAAAGCATTAACAGCAGTTTACTGTGTCTTGTAAAACTGGGCATTACAAGCCACTTGTACAATAGTTGACTCCAACCACTGAATCAATCATTGGTCAATTGCTGATCAATCATCATTAAGCAACTTTAAATAAGCAAAACTAAAACTTAAGTAAGCAAATGTTTGCTTAACAACTAGATTTATTAAAGAAAAAATGCTGTCCAAACCCTCCTGACCCTGTGTGGAAAAAGTTATTGTCCTCTAGCCCTAATAACTGGTTGTGAAACCCAAGATCTGATGTATGATTTGGGCGCACCTATATCTGGCCATAACCTTTTCAAAGTAAAGTTGAACATTTGAGAGAAACACTTGGGACATTTAATCAGCAAGTAGTAGTTTAAAACACTTTCTAAATAAGTTTAAACAAGTATTACATAAAATGCACTAATTTTTCATGACAGAAAGAACTTATAAGGTTGATTCACAGTACAAATTCAAATATTTGACAAGAAAGTAAACAGTTGCCAGCAGAAAAGTATATAAATCTTCCATTTCCATCTTTTCCTTCACTTATTTATCAACATCACCCTCTGTGCTCTTGAGGGATGTCCAAGTCCTCGGACACTGATGGTGCATTTTTCTGTCAAAAAGTAGTGCAGATACTTTAGAAAAACTAAAAAAATTGCTACAAAAGGTTTAAATTTATTACAAGCAAAGCAACGCTTTATGCGGTCACATTTACAACACAGGTTAGCTTTTAAATTTAAAAAGTCTTATTGGTCAAGTGACTGCTATGCGAAACTTACCACTGAGCCGCCTTCTCTGGTCTTGTTAAAAGAACAGGTCAGCCATTTGACATACTCATCTCTGATCTAGAATATGAAATAAATGCACATTTTGAAAAATAAATGAAATAACTCTCACTATAAAACTCATAAAAAATACTACCAATATGCTTTAACTAGAGATGATGTTAAATCACAGAGCTGGTCATTATTAAACAGGTGTTTAATGTGGTGCATTCCCTATAGATAGATCCATAAAGCCACAGAGCCATTGCTAGTGGGGCAGAGATTAGCTTTTATTTAACTACATTTTAACTTAATTTTTTTTTCTCTTATAAAGAATACATCTATTCGCTTCCTCTTATCCTTTTCAGGGTCGCGGGGGGCGCTGGAGCCTATCCCAGCTGTCATAGGGCGCAAGGCGGGGTACACCCTGGACAGGTTGCAGGCTGTCGCAGGGCCAACACACAGGGACAAACAACCATTCACACTCACATTCACTCCCGCATTCACACCTATGGGCAATTTAGATTACTCAATTAACCTATTCCCACTAAGTGCATGTCTTTGGATGGTGGGAGGAAGCCGGAGTACCCGGAGAGAACCCACACAAACAGGGGGAGAACATGCAAACTCCACACAGAAAGACCCCGGCCTGATGGTGGAATTGAACTCAGGAATAATATAAAGAATGAATTATAAAAAGTTTGACATACAGTATGTAAGAAAAATGTTAAGAAACACTGGTATAACGAGTCTACCTCCTTGTTGAGGACACAGTGGACAATGTAGAGAAAAGTACCCTGCTGGGAGTTCAGAACTATAAAAGCAACCTGAAAGAACAGGTTCGTCTGGTACAGGCCAAGAATCCAGGTACAGCCAAGTATAACAAACTGGGCCAGTATCTTGAACAAAATCAACCTGCAAACAGAACAACAGAAGGTTTTTACAGTTCTTTACAAAACATTGGAGCAGGATGTTAAATAAAAAAGTCAGTATGCTAAATAAATTCATTTCTCTACTGTAACTGCACTTATAGTCAAACAGGAAGACTTGTTTAGTCTCTAGAGATGAACTGATTGTCTGGCAAGGGAAAGGTATTTCCCGATTTCCAGTCTTCTCTGGTCCAGAAGGGGGACTGGCTGGTCGGCGTCTTGCGCATACATTTCATGAGCAAATTGTTACAAACTACTACTTCTAAACACTCACAGTGCACAAATAAAAAATGATTTACTTGCACATGGAAACGCATGCAAATAGTTGTGCGCACACTCACAGGCGCATGCCAACAAGTTGTCAGCATGGAAACTCCCCACCACGAGTGAAGACACAAAGTTCGCCAAAGTAAACGACCACAGAAAATGTTTGTTATGACGAACCTGATCAAACACTTAATTCTGTACTTTTTAAAAATTAGCCAACAAATGAAAAGTGAGTCAAGCTAAACTATTCAGAGCTCAGAACCAACCACAAGTAAGAGAGTCAGGCAAGAGCTGTGAAAGGAAAATTACAGACAGGTGAGAAAAAAGGGAAAAGGGTTGATGTCCTCTCATGTGGGGAATTCATAAGTATACGGGAAAATGATGCAAGTGTCTGATATAAAGGTGGGTATACAACAGCTAATTTCTATTCAATTATTAGCATGCTTGAAAGAGAAAATCCTGTAACTTACTGAGTTTGGAGCAAAAGTTCATTTATTTATTTATTTATTTTTTATTATGCAAATAATATTTTGCATTGAAAAAAGTTGATTTTTCTTTCTATATAATGTCAACTGTAGTTGAAATAGGGAAAAATCTGTGTTGTCATTTAGCAAATAATCAGAATCAGAATGGAAATCGCACTTAGTCTGGAGTCTCTACTGAGTGACATTTTTTTTTAAAAGCTGCACAAAAATCATAATGATTACTCAGAATTTGAACTTGTTTTTTAAATAAACCTCACACTTACTTTGTATCTTTGGACTGAGAGATATCACTTTTTATGTTAGCCAAGGTGGGCCGCAGACTCCATAAAGTTGCACCAAACAGGTAGCAATTCATCTGATAAAATAATCAGATTTATAATTTAATTTTGAGACAAATTATCATTATAAGAAAAAAATGTAATGTGTAATACAGTTCTAACACAAAAATAGACACACAGCAAGGATCGCTATCACTGGCCCTGTTAAAGCCCATTTGAAGTTTCGTTTTTCTGACAGCCAGCATCTGCAATTCAAACGCACATCAGAGATCATTATCCAGTCTTGTACATTTAGTAATAAAAGGATTTAATGCATAAATCGGTGCATTGCACTGTGTCTGACTTACACATTAGCCTCAGTACGTCCATATCCACCAGAATACATCAGTGCCGAAACACCGACAATCACAAATGGAACACCATAGCCAATCAGATAGAGAAGAGGCCTGGGGAGGCCATCTCTTTGAATGACTTTCACCTGGGAGAGCTTCCATACCAACAAGTGGAGCTGTAGTGCCTCCAGCAACATCCACACAAAACTGGCAACAATAAAGAAGTGGAGAAGCCCTGCCATGACAGTGCAGGCCAGCTGTAGAGACAGATAAATATGTTTAAGCTTTATGGACAATTGGAACACAATAGATAATCTTTTGCTAATTCTTGGAGTTTAGCCACATTGTACCTTATTATCAGTGTATTTGTCATTCCACAACAAGAGTAGTTGTGAAAAAAACAGGTTGAGGCAGAGGTGGAGACGGGCTGTGTTGTTAATTTTGGGATTCCAGCTGCACAGAAGGAAGGTGAAGATGGCCAAAGCCAAGAAGAATAGTCCAATAATCACACATATCCGGTTCAGCCACTCTAAGAAGTCATTCTGTGGCACAGGCTGAAAATGAGATACATGGATACTGATGAAAATGGATGTAAATTTGGCTATAACTGTGCTTGACTTATTGGCTTATTGAAATGCTTTAAAGCTGACAAATGTCTAAGATCCAGGAGATTTTTTAAGAGCAATTTTTGTTTAGATATCATCTGAATTTCAGGAGCGCCCCCCCTGGCCTCAGGCTATAAGCCCCCCTTCTCCAATTCCTGCTGTTCTCATTTTCATGCCCCCCCCCCCCTTTTTTCTTTCCTCTCTTCTCCTGTCCTCTCCTCTCTTCCTTTCCTCCCTTTATTTCTCGTTAGTACAGGGGGTTCTGCCCGGCCCGAGAGCCATTGCCAGACCCCTTCAAGGCCTTCCCCAAACCGCAGCACTAATCACACTCCTTCATCCCTCATTGCCCATCGTTACCAAGGGAGTGGTCCCTGCTAGTGAAATGTTGTGTCTCTTTCTAATTCTGCATATGCCAAGAAGTGTGGGATAAACTGTCTAAAACTGGGTATGTAAAGTGTACTATACTTGTTGACAAAGCAGTTTGACAGAATACTGAATTAAAGTTCTACAGAAATTTTGACTGATTACAAAAAAAAATTTCTTCCACTTAAAATGTAAAAAGGGATTTAACCGCTTATATACACTGCATGTTTCCATTTGTCAAATTGTGGAGTTTTAATCAAATCTGAAAAATGTACAAGTATGTTAAGTCCTGTAAGTAATAAGACTTCAACCTTACCAACATGTAACTGACATACCTCCCCAATCTGCATTATGAGAGCAAAGGTAGAAAGGTGTGAGCAGCTACAAACAGTGTAGTTTTTGTGAGAGTATGCAACCCAGCAACCCTCTTCTGACCAACGCATCGTCTCTCCATTTTGTCCACCTTCGGCTTCTCCGGCTTCCCAGTACACACAAGTGACCATTCCATTATCTGGTACTTCCTAAAAATAAAAATAAAAATAAGCAAAGGCAAGAATAAAAAGTCTGATTCTTTTTCAATACATGCAGTGGTGTGAAAAGTGTTTGCCCCCTTCCTGATTTCCTGGTGTCTTGCATATTAAACACAAATGTTAATATTGGACAAAGAGAGAAAGACATCATACCAAGATCTAAAGAAACAACGGAGAAACAAAGTCACTGATAGCTATGAGTCTGGAAAGCTTCCTGGCTTCCTCCTGGAGTGACTGGGCTACCAAAATTACTCCAAGAGCACATTCACAACTCATCCAGGACGTCACAAAAGAACCCAGAACAACATTAAAGAACTGCAAGCTTCATGTCTCAGTTAAGGTCAGAGTTCATGCTTCAAGAATAAGAAAGAGACTCGGCAAAAAAGTCATCCACAGAAGAGTTCAAGAAATAAAACAGTTCTGACCAAAAGACTCATCTCACCTTTGCCAAAAGCCCATTTTGATGATCTTGAAGACTTTTTAGAAAATAAAAATAATGTGTACTAATGAAATTTGAGTTCCATTACATCTGGGGTTGTTGTGGTGCCTTAGGATCTGAAAAACCATGAATTCTGCTGTTTACCAAAATATCCTGAAGGAGAATATCGTCCATCTGTTCAAGACCTCACTCTGAGGCACGCTGATGATGATTCAAAATTATCCAAAACACATCAGCAAGTCTACCTCCAGCTTAAGAAAAACTAAATTAAGACTTTGGAGTGGCCAAGTCCAATTCCTGACCTTAATCTGATTGAGACGCTGTCGATCAAAAACCCTCCAATGTGGCTGAATGAAAACAATTCTGCAAAGACGAGTGGGCCAAAATTCCTCCACGGAGCTGTAAAAGACTCATTGCCACGTATTGCAACACTTGACTACAGTTGTTGCTGTTAAGGGTGACCCAGCCAGTTATTAGGGTTAGGGGGCAATTACTTTTTTTTTTCCTTAATGACAAATACCTACACTTAGACACTGCATTTTGAGTTTACTTGCATTATCTTTGTCTATTATTTATATTTGTTTGATGATCTGAAACATTTAAGTGACAAACATACTAAAAATCCAGGAAACAGGAAGAGGGCAAACACTTTCACAACACTCTATATGTACAATCTTGATGCTACACCTTGTGTTGAATTGTAAAGTTGACAGGCTCTGTCAGGTTGGTGGTGTTTATTCCTGGTATTATGGCAGTTAAAACATCTGAGTACATCTCTGTCACATTCTTGGTTTTGAAGTATTGATGACTGAGAATGCTCTCCATCCCATCTAGCGTCAGAAAGGCGGCTGATATAGAACCTGGAAGTGGTCACATCACAAAAAAACCCAACAACAACAACCACATTCATCTTGATGCACCTGTGTCAGTCAACATTTTTTTTAAAAAAAGCTCTTACCATTGTTGGCCCTAGCTAGATCCTCCAAGTTGATTTTCATTTCATATTCCTTGGCAGAGAGGGATGAACTCTTGCTATCATGGCTCAATGAACCAATGGCCAGAAGACTCAAATCTTGAACACAGATATGCATTCATTATGTTTGTATTTACTAAGAACTCAAATTTGACCTATTAGCGTAAAGTTGAGCTTGGTCTTACCCACTGTTGAAGTGTGCACTTCCTTTTTTATTTTCGTCTCAGTCGACGGAGTCATTGCAACAACGAGCTGCTCTGAGAGGCCAAGAATAACACTACCAGTCTCCCCGTCTCCTTCACTGCTCACCTTGCTTGTGCTGGTAAGTGTTCCAACACCTAAAACCATCTACAGAAGACTTGAGTTATTGTAATGAACAAATAAACAAGCAAATGAAATGAATAAACTGGAAATATAAAGCTATGACTCTGTTTGCTTTTCAGTACCATAGATGTAGAAAAGCAGTTTGCAACTGTCTGCAAAGATGTCAAGAACGGAGAAAATTGTGTTAGATAAAAAATAACTGCCGGGTTTTCTGTGCATCACGTTACATCCTATTTGTTGTGTAGCATTTACAAGTTAACGTTTTTAACTACGTACCACATCCGGTAAAAGGACACCTGTATTGTTCTTCAGGTCTTCACCCAAGTTTTCAAGGAAAGCTCTCTCTTTTGTCTTATCCTGAAATTAACGTTTGGGTTTAGTTTATGTTTGCTACACGATGGCATCTTTAAAAAACGGGGATTTAAGTTTTGTATAACTGTCTAATTACAGTCGAATGTTTTACTGTGAAAAAGTGATCTTTATCAAAGAACTAACTTACTTACAATCAAAATCATGAAACATAACGGGTTATTAATGAACTTTGTTATACGTTAAAAAGTTAGCCAGTTAGCCTCTAAAACATAAATCACCACGAGTCTTACCTTATTAGGTTTGATTTCATCTAGAATGTCTTCAAGGCCTGTCAGTAAATTAAAAAAATACATTTAAATTCTAAACACTTTTGAAAATCTAAAATGTCTTTGAAGTCAGCTTTGCTCACTTTTACAAAAAGTGATGCCCGCCTTCCAAATTACACCAGTTGATGGGTAGAATCCATCAGGGCAGGAACAATAGAAGGTGCCTGGTGCATTAGTACACACAGTTTGGTTACCACACAGTCCAGGAGTTTCACTGCACTCATCTATATCTAAAGCGATGAGAGAAACACAAGGGGCTGTTTTTCTTGCTTGTTTGTTTTTTGGAAATTATATATTTATTTGCTTTTGGAAACAAAAGAGCATAGGAATAGCACATACCATTGCATGGGTTAGCAATGCTGGCTCTAACATGTGGATTGTCCACTCGATAACCAGTAAGGCAGGTACAGTTGTAAGATCCAATTGAATTTGTGCAGTTACAGTTTGCTCCACAGATGTTCAACACATGGTCAGCACACTCATCAATATCTGTAACACACATTTAATCAAATTCAAGCTGCAGGTGAAAAAATACTACGGCAGGTTGTGAGACTGAACCTGTTTCTTTTGTATATATTCTGCATTTTTTCATATTAAACTGCAGTCTCTTTGCCTATATCTACAGGTTTCAGCTAATGCCTTTGTAAATATGTTGTAAATACCAGTGCATATGTTGGTCATGCTGGGTTCTTTGGATTGATCAGTTGGTGCGTAACCTGGTATACACCCACAGGTATAAGCTCCAGGTGTGTTTGTGCAGATAGAATCAGGGCCACAGATAGATGAGGTTAGACACTCATCATTATCTGAAAAGAAGACAGTTAATGTAAACAAATTCAATTTATGTTCTTTGTGTACTGAAAATTACACTTAATATGCTTTTCTAATTGTGTTAATCACTCAAAGAACTTTATGCTACAAGCTATATTCACTCAAACACACAAAAGGATTTTCCTACCAAACACATGACATAAATAATAATACAGACCTTGGCAAACAGGGGTTGCATCTGATTGAATGTGAAAGCCTTCATTGCAGTTGCACACATAACTTCCAATTGTATTGGTGCAGGACCCATATTGCCCGCAGATATTGGCAAGACATTCATCAATATCTAAACATACCACAGTTACCAAGTTAAAATCTGCATTAAAAATAGATTTTGTTATTTTGTGTTTTTATTGGTACCTGTGCATCTATTGGACGTTCCAGGTGGCAGTGTTGGATCTGTTACACTGAAACCATTCAAACAGGTGCATATATATGACCCAATGGTGTTCTTACAATTTGAGTTAGGACCACAAATCCCTGTAGTCCTCTGGCACTCATCAATATCTGACAAAAAGAATAATAACAAACCAGCTGCAAACTTTAACAGTATTGACATTTAGTGAAGTTTATTTTCTTTTGTTTTTAGTTATTTATTGTTACTTTAGTTTTTTTGTGAAGTTTATTTATAACAAACATTAGTGTAAATCTTTGTATTATTATCATTCAGCATGGTCCCTATCTCCAAGAGAGAGGCCAGCCATCCTTTGGAGAAGGCTCATTTCTGCCACTTGTATCCACATTCTCAATTTTGTGGTCTCTACCCAGAGCTCTTTGATCAGCTTGATGGCCCCCTTACCTACGGTGTCCTGGTAATGCTGTGAAAGTTTTGCCAGAGGTGGGAGTTGAAGATCTCTTTGATAGTGGCCTCTCCCAGACTTTCCCAGAGCACCCTAAATATGCATTTACGCGTACCAGGTCTGTCCAGTATTCTCCTCGACCATCTAACCCAACTCAAGACCAGGTGGTGATCAGTGAAAGGCTCGGTCTCTTTATCCGAGTGCTCAGAACATACGGCTGCAGATCCAATGATACAATTACAAAATCGACCATCGACCTGTGACCTGGGGTGTTCTTTGTGCCATGTGCACTTATGGACATCCTTATGTTCTAACATGGTGTTCGTTATGGACAAACAGTGGTAGGCACAAAAGTCCAATAACAAAACACCACTCAGGTTTAGATCAGGCATGCGGTTCTGCCCAATTACACCCTTCCAGGTCTCACTGTCATTGCCCATGTGAGCATTGAATTATAAGACCATTTGCAAAGAATTTGAAGGCTGTTTGAAGGACGTTTGGGAGAACAGCAAAGTCAAGGATTTAAATATGTTTTCCATCCAAGTCTATGCCTATGGATGTCTCATCTATAAAAGATGGAGATAAGGATATGACAACATATCCTCAGCCGAATCCTCATTAACCTTTCCAAATACTATAGGACATATTTTATTGTCCCTAATCCAGGGGATGATGTTACAAGAAAGATTAGTCTCTGCTGTTTGCAAATGCAATCTCACACTGTCAACTTTGTTACTAAAGAAGTTAGTTTGCTTCATCGCATGGCATGCTGGTAAACTGACCAGCACATTCCACACATTTTTGAGAATTTCAAATATTCCTACCTGTGATCCCACTTAAAGTCTTAAAAGGAATGAGTAAAGGAATAAATCTTTATTAAGTAATATTCTCTTTTTTTTCCTCATAATTTAAAATGTTAACCTTTTTTTTCCCAACTTAGGGTAGAAAGTTTTATCTATAAAGGGACTCTGATTTGTGAGTAGCAGCTTCTGCATTGTCCTTTTGAAAGATCAAATAATGTTTTAACCTGGTAAGGCCCAGATCATTTTTTTAGGCATAAGACATCAGGATCAAAACATGATACACTTTGTTTTACACATTATTTTCATAAGAATAAACAAGAAATATAGAATAGTTACTTATTTTCAATTTCACGTACTTACCAACACAACCAAATGAAGCCGGAGTAGGAAGGTGGCTTTGGGGGATTTCATAACCATCCTCACAATTGCAGCCTCCATCTGGCATACACTTGGCCAATGGTCCACAAGAGTCTGGCTTACAGTCATAATGATCTAAATACATATACAATTGTGAAACACAATCATAACATAAATGACTATCAACAAAAAAACATTTCAATTTTTGCGAGTTTTGCCCTTTGAAATTAGGATTTAGATATTTAGTGACATAGTTTTACAGTCGTAAAAGGTTAAAAAAACATAAGAGTTTAACTGAACACCATCATATTTTAGAGTATTAGAGTGTGTGTGTGTGTGTGTGTGTGTGTGGGGGGGGGGGGTGATTTAATCACTTCAGTTTTTTTGCCTCACTTGTTTGATCACACCAATGTGCACTCCTCTCTCCTAGTCTGCATGTCATGTGACCAGCCAACTGATCCTAGGCCTGGAGACCATGCCAGTTAAAGTACTTTCAGCACTGCAGATAACTAACTTCAGCAATTTAGAATTTATATTGATTGATTGATAATACTTTATTTATCCTGAGGGAAATTGCAGGCTGCCAGATGATCCGGCACCATCATGAGCACCCCTTCTGACCATACATAGAATACACAAGCAAAACATTGGGAAGAAAGATCAGAGAGGTACGAAAAAAGTCAAGAGTTAGCCCATAAAAACAGCAGCCTGGTCCTGGTACGGTGTTGGACAGGTCCGCCTGTCTACTTCGGGTGGGAGTAAGCGTTCGGAGGCATTGGGAGGGGGGAGGGAGTGTTCAACTTGAGAGCGAGAGTCCTTTCTCCCAGTCAAGCAAAAGTCAACATTCCTCCACCTGACATAGGTGACCTTAAGGGATAGGAGCAGACAGTCATAATACAGTCCTCTTATCAGGGAGAATTGTTGTTCTGGCCAGTCTTGGCCTTGGATAGCTGCATGAAGGACATGGTTGTTTGGGTTCGAACGAACAACTGCATTCCAGTTTCACAGTTGGTCTAAATGTCCATCACTGGTCATCAAGTCTCTCAATTCCCATCGAGGAGCCATCAGCTTCCCCAAGATCTTATCAATATTGTGTTCAATAAACACAGTCTGAGTACTCACAGCTTGCCCATCGTCAGTAATGTTGGCTAGCCTTGTGGGGTTTTGAACAGCTGTAATCGCTTTCTTTGTTCTTCGATAAGCCAGGTCTGAGCCAGCTCCAAACAGCGAGAACTCTGTTATCATTGTTCCACATCTTGTTCAATGCCCCCCATTGAGAGTGTCGCCAGGCACACGACACAACTGACCATCAAGCAGTGTCAATTTCATTAAGGGACTAGTTGATCAAATCCAGAACAAGACTGAGAGACTCTCTGAGGGTTAGAGTTAGACAAGACTAGAAAAGAACAGAAACCAAGCAGGGAAAGATAAGGGAGGGAGAGGGGGAAAGATGCATCCACCTCTACCAAGAGAAGAATGAATGAGTGAATGAATGAATGAATGATTTCTGAATATTTGAAAAAGGGATTCAAGTTAAGATTTCTATTTTAGAAGTAAAAATGAACAGAATCATAGTAACAAGAATTAGTTACTACTCA